GAAAGAGACTGTACTCCCCTCGGAGAAGAAACACAAATTTACAAGAGATAGCTAAGGGGGTGCTTTTCCCCATACCATAGGGAGTATAGGGAAGAAGAAACAGGACATGCTCCTTTTCTCATTAAGTTAAATTTTGCACAGGATGGAGAACAAATGAAAATAAGTTCTGGAGTAATTTACCTTGATGTCTGTAGCACAGAAATAAGAAATTAATTTGAATGTGTTCAAGTAAGGAACACCCAAGAAAATTTTAAAAATTTAGATTTACGACTTGAGGGTTCCATCTCATATTTAAAAATTAATCCTTAATATTGTTACAATTTCAGAAGCACCTAACAATTACCTTTAAGAAGTTATGGAGCATAATGGAAAGTCTCAGAGGACTAGAGAAGGGCAAACATAGTACCTGTCTCTAAGAGGAGAATCTGGGGAATTATAGAGCAGGCAGCCAAACTTCTGTACCTGGAAATATACTGGAATAAATAATTTAAATTGTCAATTTATAAAATTATAGGGGATAATAAGCTGATAATAGCTAATACAGATGTGTCAACTACAGATCACGTCAAAGCAATGTGACTGGGAAACAGGCCTAGTGAAAAGGGGAAGCAGTGGAAGTGGTATATCTTGACTTCAGTAAGGCTTTTAAACACAGTGCCATTAGTAAACTAGGGAAAGAAAGACCAAATTAAATAACTTCAGGATTGAGACAACTGGTGTGGGGGTACTGTTAAATAATAATTACCAATGGTAAACTGTCTAGGAAGACAGTTAACTGTTAACAGTTAACAGACTGTTAACTGTCTAGGAAGACATTAAGTAGGATCTAAGGATCTCTTGGGCAGTGTCACTTAATGTTTTCTTTAAGGATTTGGAAAGAGGAGAGACAGAGAGAGAGGGGGAGAGGGAGAGGGAGAACACTTTTCAAACCTGCAAACAACCCCAAGGTGGAAGAGGTTACAAGAATTTTGGAGTTTTAGGGTGAGAAATTAACTTGCCTCGTCTTCTATAGTGCCAGATCTCATTTCCTCTCTTTCCTTTTCCATGTAAGGAATGAGGTGGCCCACTGCTTTCTTCATAACTCGAGCAGATTTTATCACCTGAATTGACAAATAAAGGAAAAAAATTGTCAGACACAGAGAAACAATAACAGCCCTTCAATGACTGATTTTTTTAATCCCAATCAGAGAAAACAAGCAAATCAAACCAAGTATTTCCAAAGATCCCAGTCTGTTAGCAAACTCTGTACTGCTAGTTCCCAGGCCCATCAAGTTCAGTGGGGTTCTGTTCATACAGTTCTCACTGCAGAACCAGGATCTTCAGGTCTGACCATGAGAGGTGTGTTTAAGGACCACAAAACAAAAAGACGGCAATGCGAGCTCTGGGTCCTTAGCACTTTCTAAGATCAGAAACTTCAATAAAAACTCATTAAAAATAAAATTATACATTCCTTAAATAGGCATAGGAGGTGCATAATATGCAGCAATCAAAAGAGGCCCTAAAAGAAAGGATGGGGGGGCTGAAGCAACAAGAGGCAAAAAAAATAATAAAACCGTAGCCACATAGAAAGGCCAAGTGAAATGAAAAAAAATTATTTTCAAATTGTTGCACCTAAACTGTCTAGATTCAAGAAATCTAGCTCATTTGAAGAAGAAAGCCAGAATAGAATCATTTATGGACCCATTTTATATGGCATAACTCAGGGCTGGAGGGCCACAACTGTAGCCCCAACCCTTGACAAGTGCCCTACCCCCTGGTCACCATTTTGGGGCCTGGAAATCCTGCCCCCTAACACCTGGCCTTTGCCACAAAGTCCCTCTCCCCCTCTGAAGTATTCCTTAAAATTCTGCTTTTCTGATGTGGAACATGACCCTGGGATGGCATCAGAGAGCACTTTAAGTACCAGAAAGCTGAGTCTTAGGGTATAAGTTCAATTAAGGACCCTCTGTGCAGATATGAAATATCTACTCTGTGTTCACAGATTTTAGCCATTTGTTATAATCTTGGATTGCCACCCTGGAACCAGAATTAAAAAAAAAACAAATCAGATACTAAAAATCAAACATCTACTATAAAATATCTTATTTTTTTAAAATATTTTTGTCCTGATTTATGTATGTTTGTGTAGTCTATATAGAAGTGATTGTATAAAAGCTCAAAAATAAAATTTTACTTGTGTGTGGGAGGGTGTGTGCGCGCGCATGTATGGTGTGTTGTGTAGAGTGTGTGGGGGGTTGTAGGGTATGGGGGGGCATGAGGGTGTGTGAGAGAGAGAGAGTTTATGGAGGGGAGGGGGTTGAGGGAGGGTTGGAGGGGTGTGGGGACTGCTCCCTAGCAGCGGCTGCAGGCCCTCAGGGTGCCCAGGGCTGATGCACACACAGCTGCCAGGCAGTGCGTGGCTCCAGCCAGTACCAGGAGTTGCAAAATGATGGCAAGGAGTGGAGCCAGATCAGCCCGTCTCTATCACACAGGGCTCACGTGTAGCTCCCAGGACTTGCACACCACCAGGGGGGAAGCCCTGTGTGATGGGAGCCAGTGGCCTGGCCCTGCTCCCTGCCACCACATGCAGCTCCCCTGGCAGCTGCAGCCATGGGGGCAGCAGCTCCACCCGGAAGCCGTGTGCGCTGGCCAGAGCCATCCCGTGCAGGAGGGTGGGAGAGAAGCACACAGGTTTGGCAGAGTACAATTAATTGGTGGGCATCTGCAGGCTGGATGAAAATTGCCTGGCAGGCCACATTTTGCCTGTCCTTGGCATAACTGGAGAGATAGATGGGCTAGGTGTGAGGAAGTGGGACACAAAGAAATTATTCTCCTTTTTACCTGAGGCAGAAACATCTTTCCAGCACCAAAAAGATCACCAACAACTTGCATGCCATTCATCAGAGGTCCCTCAATTATATTCAGAGGTCTGGGGTATTTTTCATGGTTTAACCTTGCCTCTTCTGTGTCCTCAATAACATATTTTTCAATGCCCTTAAAAAAAAAAAAAAAAAAAAAAAAAAAAAAAAAAAAACCCCCCCCACAACTTTTCTCTTTTAAAAAAATGTCCCTACACCTCAAAAATCTTTTACTTAGCAATAAGCACAACAACAGTACAAATAGATCAATTGTCTAAAGCAATGTTTACACATCTGCACATTTACTAATTGTAAAGTCACATAAAACCTGGCCTGCTAGATGTCTCCATCAGCAGCATATATTCCTAAAGTTTGAATGAATTTTTTCCCCCTCATATTTGTAACTCAACCATCTTATCCTCCTGTTAATGGAAAGTGAAATGAATTAGTAAGCAACCTAAAGCATCTGAGACTGACCAATCTAAATTCTACTGACCCTGGCTACGTAAAATACAAAAGAAGCCAGTCGCGAAGTACTGTTATGACATTTCTCTTAGTTTCAAAGATTTAAAAGTGTTATCAGTAGTACAGGTACAGCAGTTTATGACTTTTATGATAAAAAGCTTTTAATGGCTGCATTGCAATCTTTATAACACTAATGAACCCTTCACGCTGCACACTTTGATTAGGCAAAGCAGTTTTTTTACAGCAAGCTACCTTGATAAGTGCATATTCTAGCCTTTCTTCCACTGGGCTGTTCCGCCATTCATCAGTCTGTACCACCTTCTTTCCTCCTTGGGTGTGAGTCTGAAAGAGGGAGCGAGCAAGCAAGCACTGAAATTCCTGGGCGTTTGGCAGGACCAATAACAATATCAGAATTTGGTGTTTTATATCTTTAAGAATAAAAATAAGAACTGCATTTGTACATACATCACACATTACTAATTTTATATTACATTGGGGATATCTACACGAGACGTTTACTGTGGAACTACCTAATTAGCTCCACAGTAAACGTCTTGGTGTCTACACATGCGGCCCTATTAGGGCACAGGAAATGAATCAACTCTGCAGCAGGATAGTACCTGCTGCAGGGTTTTTTGTGTGCAGCAGCACATGTGTAGATGCTGACCCATCTGGCAGGGCCATGCGGGTGCTTCAGTGTGGGAGCTGCCTTCTGGCTAGCCCCACACAAACACCTTTATGCTCCAGCCAGCCCCTCCACAGCACACTTAAATCAGGTCAGAGCAGCCCCAAGCTGGCAGGCTGACCCCCTGGGTCCCCTACCAGCTGGGGCTGCTCTGACGCAACTCAATGCGCTGCACTCCCAAGCGCACGTTTAAATGGCGTGCCCAGAGCAATAAACTCCAGGGCGATAAGCATGTGTAGACATACCTATTGCTATTAAAATTTAAAACTTTACTACATATTTACACAGTGCAGCATGCATGATATTGTACATACCAGCAGAACTGACAGGTCCCTGACCTGAGAAGTTAATGATATAATGAAA